CCCACTCCCTCTGCCTCTTCACTCTACTACATCTGCAGTGAGGAGCAATGCTCCTCGAGACTTCATTAGGACCTACAGGGAAGCTCTCTGGTGGGTGGCAGTGAGGTGATGTAAATCTCAGGGCATTGTTTGGGTTGAGAGCAAGGCAAGCCTGGGCCAGGCACCTGCACCCAGTGCTCTGGGAAAGCAGATTCCCTAGAAATCTGCACTTGATTCTATGTTCAAAGATCCCCGAAAGTAATTTTGACTACTGAGGAAAGGAAGAGTCTAAAAATAAACTGTAGGCTATAAAATTGCAAATTATTCCACTCAAGAAAGTAAATTAAATTGATTGATTCAGTTCAATCTGTGTTTTTTGAATACAGCATCAGTAGAAATCAATGAGGCTGCGCAACTCTCACATTTTAGAAAGACACACAAGAAAGACTGAAGAAGGGAAATGGAATGCAGTATAATGGTCTGGATTGAACCTGTAGGTAGAGTGTAGCAAAGAGGCTGAATCTGAAAATCAACAACAAAATACTCTCAAGACAGCAGAAGAGTGCTGTTTCTTTTGGATTGAGAACAAGGCAAGGATAGCCCCAGAGCTGAGACAGATGGTTTAATGTTACATGACTGGGGAGAGGCAAGGTTTTCTACTCTCAGCTTTTCTGTTTTCTTAATCAAGGAAAATGGCCCTCAATCTAGAAATGTTAAACAAATATCTAGATGAGGAAATTAAACCTGGATAGGTGAGAGAAATGGGAGAGCGAGGAATTCAGGTTTCTCAGCCGTGGTGAAAGATGATGCGTTCACAATAGAGTATGTCTTCGATATGACCTTACTCAATCAGAATTTGCTTATTGACCGAGTTAACCCCCCAGTGTTGAAATAACTTGCAGAAATGACCCCAGTCTTTGAAAACTCAGGAAAAATTCCAGAACCAAAAGACTAGAAATGGGTATATTTTCTAGTTTTATATGAGAAAGAAACATGAGTTCTGACCTTTGTCAAAATTCTAGAAAGAATTATTAAAGAAACTGTGGATATTTAGACAGAAATAATAATAGACAGAAATTTAGGAACCACTGCCATTTACTTACATGCTGTGGAAAACAAATGTCATTTCCTCTTCTGGGTGGTATTTTGAGATTTGTCATGCCAATGGACACAGCAGGCTTTGTGAAGCTTGATTTTGGAAAATTGTCTTGTTATTAAGGTTTTTTATAAGATCCTAGTGGACAAGGTATAGAAATGGGGGCTGGATGATACTAGTTGGGTGCCATGCATTTAAAATTTGTAGAACAGTCTTGCCCAAAGGGTAAGAAAGGTCCCTGAGGGGATAGACGGCTCTGTTTTTGGTCCAGTTCCACCTGATGTTTCATTTTTCAATGTCACATGAAGGTGGAAGATGCCCTATTTACCAATTCACAGAAATCCCAAACTAGGAGAAATGTATCAGGTGAATAAAATATCCCAAAGATTTCCCCTTAATGGAACAAAATAAGATGGTATTTAACAAGGCACAAGTAAGTCTTGAATTAGGTTTAGAAGAAGATCAGTTGCACAAATTGAACATGAAGTCCTCAGACTTCACCACTCCTGGTGTGGAAAGACAAGATTCAATTGCAAGTTAGGAAGAGCCAGGTGAAGACACCGCTTCTGAAAGGATACCTCAATTCCAGGGCACAAGGTGAAGATGTAAGTGTGTCTCTCCATTCTGGGTTGTTGATATTTTGTTTGATTCTGGACTCTTCTTAAGGTGTGTTCTGGGAAATTAGAAGGCAAATAGAGGTGGACAGCTCTTTTATGATAAAATTATAAATGACCTAGAGGTATTGACTCTGAAATAAGAAAACTACAGTGGATCATGAGACCAGTCTTCAAATATCTGAATGTCTTTCATGTAAAATACAGTTATATGGTCTCTATTTGCCTCCAGAGAGCAAAACTGGACTCAGTGGCGAATAGCCAACCCATTGACGAGCAATAGAAGTTTCCAGTACTTGAGAGTACACAGCTCTGCAGTGGGCTTCTTGGACAGCAGGGCATTCCACCATTCATGGAGAATTACTGTAGAGACTGGAGCGGAGGATGGGAGAGGAAATTCCTTTGTGCCCTCCATGGCTGGGAGAGATGACTCCTAAGTGATCTTCCATCATGTGCATTACATCATTTGAATAATGACCATTACTGAGTTTATACTCAGTGCCAGGGCTGGGTTAAGGTCTCTGTATGCACAATCCCATTGTATCTTTAAACAGATGAGGAGACTGAGGCTCAGGGAGGCTGTTAAGAGCTCAAGCCTCCACAGTGACAGGTCAAAGAATGGAAGTTGGATCCTAAGTCTGAGTTTAAAGTATATGCTTTTAACATCTATGTCATATATATGATCTGCAGTCTATAAATTTCATTCTTCCATTCAGCAACCAATGCCCTGGAATGCCTTGTTCTTCACCTCCTCCTGCCCCTGGAAAACTCCCACCCATCCACTTAGACTGAGCTCACCTGCTGTCTCCTCTCTGAGGTTTCCCCCACTTCCTCCACACATGATGAATCACTTCCCTCCTGTGTTGCATGGCAGGGGGCACATTGTACCCTGTTTGGCTGTGTGGTATTGGTTTCCCCACTGGATTGAAGGTCCCAGTTTCCTGGACAACTGGAGCCAGTGCTTATTCATCCCTATCCCTCAGCACCACCAACAATGCTCAGAAGATGTTGGTACTCAACGGGCTTATAAGTTCTTTTATTCATTCATCCATCCATTCATTCAAGAAACCTAAGAAAGAATAACACTTATTTCTCTTTCCCTTTTAATCCTTCCTGCTCCAGGTATCATTCTCCCGCTCAACGACCTTTAGTGTCCCTTTGTATTTATAGCATAAAGTGCAGAAGCCTTAGCATGGCATTCAGGGGCCTCTGTGATGAGAAGGTCATACGCTTTGAGGTCTCATTCTCCACCCTCTGTGTCCCCTTCGCCCTCCCTGACCTCTGTCTCCACCATCTTCTATCCTCTTGTGTTTACTCATATTGTTCCTTCTTACTGAAATGTTCTCTCCCACCCTCAGCATTTCCTCTCAAAGTGTTATCCTTTCTTCAATACCCCAGTTCAAACACCACCTCCCCTGGGAAGCCTAGCCTCATATCTTGATCAGGAAAACCCTCCCTTCTATGTATTCCGAGTCCTTTTTTTGTTGTGGCAACAGTTTTCTGATATTCTATTTTATTCTAGCTTTTTGGTCTATCTGATCCAAAAGATTATCTAACAATACCCTTTTCAGCAGGAACCATGCCTTACTATCTCCAAAATTCTGGTGATAAGTAGCATTATCTAGCACTGTATCCCCGTACCTAAGGCAATACCCGACTCCTATTCTGTAAACAGGTGTTATTGAATGAATGAATGAATGAATGAATGAATTCATCAGAATCAAGTTCTGCATTGTAACACCAGTTTGCACATTAACTAAATATATAATTTGGGACATTGCACATCAATCACTGTGTACCCCAGTTTCCATATCAATAAAAGAATGATCAAGGAGCCAGGGAGAAAGAGAAGTCATTTTTATGGATGACTTTGCAACGTGCAAGGCAATGTGCTAGGGGCTTTATTTACTTTACGGGGCTGTGAGAGGAAGGGAGGGAGTAATGAAGAGGGGAGAGGAGTACACAGGCAGAGAAGAGTATGAGCTTAGGATAAGGCTCTCCTGAGCTCAAGCCCTGGCTCTGCCACTTACTAATTGTGAGCTGGAGCAAGTTATTCTAATCTTTCAAACTTCTGTTTCTTCAGCCATCAAGTGGTGATAATAAGGAAACCTACTGGTGAGTTTGTTGTGAGGATTCAATGAGGTATTGCATGTAAGGTACTTAGCCCATTGGCTGGCAGGTAACCCTGCATTATAAACAGCAGCTCTTTATTATTATTCTATTACCTGTGTGCCTTCTTGTTTGGTTTATCCCGTGAAGCAGCGGAGGTTCTGAGAGGTTAAACAACTCTCCCAAGGTCACACACATCTTCTGACTGCCCTGTTTTCCTCCCTGCCTTTGGGACAGAGGATGAGACGGTTGGATGGCATCACTGACTCAATGGATGAGTTTGAGCAAACTCCAGGAGATAGTGAAGGACAGGGAAGCCTGGCATGCTGCAGTTCTCATAGGGTTGCAAGAGTCAGACACGACTTAGCAACTGAACAACGAACAACAACAATGGGACCTACCAAGTTAAATCCTTGGAGGATGGCCATGAGCTTTGCAACATAGCTTGTATTCCCATTTCAGGGTGAAATACTGGAAAGCCACCGATGTTACTACTTTTCAAACATTCCCAAATTTTAACATTTTATTATCTAAACATTTAGCATCTAACACTGAATATCTAAAAGCAATGTGAATTTTATCATGGTAATTCTTCTGTTTAATAAAGGAATAAAGGTCATAATCTAAGTTATAAGCATGTATGGATAAAACTTTTTCCCTATGAGACTCAAAGCTAATAACCTTCCCCCTCTAATCATTTGGCTTTTCTTTGTGCAAAAAAACCAAAATGCCAATTACCATTCTTCTGTAACCAAATGGTATGTGAACCTTCTTGCCCCATGAAGGGAGCACCACCTGGGCACTCAGTAGGCATTTGATTCAGAAGAGGAGGAGAGAGTAACCAGCAGGGTTATTAGGGCTTTCTTTGGTGGTGGATATGATATACAAATATATAGAAATTTTATGGAAGACACTCAAATATTCAGAGGAGGGTCATTAGTGTGGCAGGCCATTGTCAAGGGTATATGACCCTTCGAACTGAAAGTATTCATGCTCTAAATGTCCAAGAGGACTGCCCCAGAGCATGCACAGGTGTGTTTTATTTGTTATGCCCATGACCTTGAGACTTCAACAGGCCATCAGGGGGCTGCCACGTGCAGAGCCCTTTTTGCTACAAACATGGCCCCCTAAAGTAGCTTCAAAGCAGTTTGATCATGGGAAGAGAAATGCCAATCTAACCCATTTGCCATTGATTTCTTAAGCAGATTCAGGCACACAGGATGAAGCACAGCTTTTGCAGGAATGGCTTAAGCTGGTTCTGGAGAAGAATAAATTAATGCGATATGAGTCAGAGCTCCTGATCATGTAAGTAAGGCAACACGGATAACAGTGAGGCCTAAAAGCAAGCGGGGGAGGGGGGTGGCAGTGGGATGGCCCACCCTCCTCAGTTGAAGTCCCAGGATTTTTCTCCTTGTGCATACAGAATTGTGATTGAGACAAATTGGTATTTGAGGTCTTGCATATCATGCTGGCATTAGTACAGAGAGTCTTCAGTTTTCTGTTCTCTGCTGTGGAGTCCTATGGCTAAAATGATTTCAGGTAATAGGTCTGGAGCTGGAGGGCATGTCGATAAGGTACTTGCAGTCCATTTCTGCCCCCCAGGGCAGGGGGGACCCACCTGCAGTCACACATCCTCAATGGGGAGTGTGAACGACGGAAAGGGCTTGCTGAGATCTGCCTGACCATTCTTTGTGGCTTTAATGTATTGAAGGTGGAGATCTGTCTGGCTGTCCTCTGGATAAGAGGCTGCAGTCTGGCTGGGAGATCAGAAAGTAGAGATGTATCTCACTGCACTCTGAGAAAGTTGAGAGTCACTTTACTTGTCATCATCCTGGAGGGAAAGAAAGTAACATTTAATATAAACTGGCTAAGCACCACAGGTTGTACTGGGTGCTTTCACTTATGCTGACTCATTTCATTTTCACCCAACCCTGAGAAATAATTTTGGGAGTCTTAAAGGGGTCTAATAAATTCTATCCCTTTTCTCTGCCTGGATTCTGAATTGGGCAAGAAATAAGACTACTGGGTCAACAGATGGAATGTTAAACTAAACCATTTATTACTGATCATGGCTAGTTTGGCTAAATATGAGAGTCCAAGAAAGCTTGCTAACTATATCCATTTCCTAGGGCTGGACTACCATGTTACCACAAACAGGGTGGCTTATAATAACAGAGAGGTATTCTCTCACAGTTCTGGAAGACTGAAATTGAGATGTTAGTGGGGCCAGGCTCTGGGGAAGAATCTTTCCTTCCCTCTTTGGCTCAGCAGGCTCCAAGCATCCCTTGGCTTGTGGCTGCATCTCTCCAGACTCTGCCTCTATCTTCATGCGGCCTTTTCTCTGTGTCTGTGTCTGCTCTTTTGTCTCTTGTAGGAATACTTGCCACTCGGTTTAGAGCCCACCAGGATAATCCAGAATATTTTCATCTCAAGGTTCTTAACTTCCCATCCTCAAAGACTCTTTTCCAAATAAGGTCACATTCAAAGATTCTAGGGGTTAGGATCACTTGGGGGTTCACCATGGAACCAAACTTCAGAATTAGACATACTTACCGACCTAGTCACAGAGCATAGTGAATCACTTGCTTCTTAGGGGTAAGGCTTTTACCGAAGACCAGTGGGTCTCACCTGGGGGCAATTTCCATCTCTGCTTCCTCCTTCCAGGGATATTTGGCAATATCTGAAGACATTTTTGTCTAAGACAACTGGGAGGTGCTACTGATATCTAGAGAGGAGAGGTCAAGGGTGCTACCGAACATTCCACAGGGATCCCCACTTCCTTCACCATCACAGGATTATCCAGCCCCAAATCTCAGTAGTGTCAAGGTGAGAAATTTTGCCCTAGACCACTAGCAAGGCTCAGAGTAAGAGAACACTTTTTTTTTAAGGTTATAGTTGTTTTTTTTTTCTTCCAGTTTTATTGAGATGTGATTGACATACAATACTGTGTAAGTTTAAAGTATATAGTGCAATGATTTGATTGACATATATCATGAAATGATTATCACAGGAAGTTTAGAGAACATCCAGCATCTCATGCAAAAATATCGATACAAAATGAAAGAAATAGAAACATTTTTTTCTGATAGAACTCTTAGAATTTACTCTCTTAACAATTTTCATATTTAACATACAGCTAGTTGTTGTGAGCAACTTGAATTTAGTAGTGAGTGGGATATTCAGTAGACAGGTAGGTATACAGGCTGAGACATGGATGGGGAGGTACAATTTCTATAATCTATTCCTTATCAAAAGAACTTTTAATCAGTAGCTGTCAGAGTAGAGAGAATTCCCCAGAGCAGTTGATTTTAAACATTGTTGGCAGTGATCCAGAGTATATTTTACTTTGGCTCATTACATATGTGTGTATAAATATGTGTATTTATACATGATGTGAATAAATATGTGTACCCAGGGAACACATGTTTGCTGCAGGCAGGCTGATCCCAGGTGAGGAGTCAGCTGAGTTTCCCTGTTCTTCCCAAATTTACCACTCCTGGGGTGAGAGTGAATCTAAGAGTGAAAGTGGAAAGAAGCAGCCAGGACTTATACTCATCAAGGTCCACTGACATGAAAGGAAATGCCAGGCATGGGGAGGCAGGGCTCATCTGTAATTATTTTTTCTATTACTATTTTTTATATTGATGCACATGCTGAGATTCAGCAAAGTAATTTGTCCACATCCACCTGACCACAAAGCCCTTTTTACACAACCATACCATCTGCCTTTGGGCTAGATTTAAATCATAAAATTCATTCAACAAACATCTATCAAGCATAATCTCTGTGCCAGGAACTGTGCTGGGTACTGTGGAAGTAAAGATGAACCAGGCCCCAGTCCCTGCCTTCAAGGATCTCATGGTTTTTGGAGATGGACATGCAAGCACACAGCATGAGAAAAATAAAAAAACATAGCAATTGCTCTGTGAAGACTTGTAGCAGGAGTGTTCAGTGCACAGGCCCTACCTGCGAAGGTCAGGGGGATGGTGACTGCTCGGTGACTGGGGCTTCCCTTACTGGTACGCTGTCAGAGGGAACGTTCTCCTCCAAAAGAGGCCAAGGAGGAGAACTTGGAGTGTGAGCCAGACAAGAGCTCTGGTAGAGGACAGCTTCTAGTTTGGAGAAAGGCCTGGGTGAACAAGGAGAAATGTCTTAGACTGGTGTGTGATTTTGAGTCCCTTGGGAAAGCAGGTGCCGGGACAGAATTAGAAGCACAAGAGATATAACAGAAGGAAGGAAAAAGGGAGCGGGAATGAAAGTGAAATCTTCAGACCTCCCTGCAGTCCTGACACCTGTGAAAGGAGAGGGGAGGGGAGGAGGACTAGCAGGAGGAGCTTCAGACTGCAGAGCAGCCCTGAGAAAAATCTGAGCCAGGCCAAAGGGAGCACCAGCCAAGGCTGCCCATCCGAGGAGTCCAAAGTGGGGCAGAAATGGCCAAGCTCCAGCACCACCGCTGTGCTGGGGGACAGTGTGGCTTCAGCACATTGAAGTGGATTCTGCTGCAGCTGTCAGCGTACTACACAGTACACTCCTTCCACAAAGTCCTTTCTTAAAGGAAAATCTGAGTGGTACATTTCTATTGGGAGCTAGAGTGGGTCAAGGGAAGTTCAGTGTCAGTAACAAAAGGCAGAATATTGAACAAAGTATGGACCTTGGCCCAAGTAATAACAGCAACAACAGGGTGTAGTAAAGTGACCCAGTGCTGTAGCAGATATGCACACAGCCTGCAGCTGGAGCTGGAAGGGAAGCCCCAGGGCCCGAGGGTCAGTCCTCACCCTTTTCAGTGCCTCTGTAGCAATGGACAGCCTTGACCCCTCTCTTTCCTAAAACTTGTCTCTCTTGGTTTCTGTGATGCTGTATATCCTTCCTACCTTCTGCTTGCTTCTTCCCTACTTCTATCTCTTTTGATTAGCTTCTAAATGTAGGCAGTCCCATGCTCCTGTCTTTGAACTTTTTTTTCCTCTATTGTCTCCCTTTTAGGGCTCATGTGACTTCACCTTTCACCTCTGACCCCTGCCGCATTTGTTTGTGGTCCTCATTTCTCCTGAGAACTCCAGGGCTGCATTCCCAGAGGTTGGAGGAACCTCCACATTACCACATGGCCCAACATGTGGGGAGCTGACACAAGTTCTGTAATTTACATGGCATATCATCAGGCACTGAAAGGTCATGACGTTCCATCTGACTTTCACCGAAAGCTGACTTCTTGACTTTGCTGGTGGGCACACTGAGTAGTCAGCACTCTAGCTTGACTCCTCTAAAGCATCACTGTTCTTCTTTCACCATCGCCTACAACCAGATGGGTGGTTGTCTGAGTACTATTGCCTCCACTGACAAAATGCCTTACTCCTGTTTCCTCCTTGTTTTCTTGCTTACCACAGTCCAAGATTTGGGAGTTGTTAGAGGTGATGCTTGAAGTCACGTTGCCCCTAAAAGAGAGGACTTTTAGATTGTCATTGCTTCTACCATTCTAGTCATTTCTTCATGATCCATTCCAGTGTGGCCTTTCAGAAGTTCACTGGGATCACATCACAAACTTCAGCTGCTCTTCAGTATCTACTGAGTTCAAGGTATCAGCAGCAGTAGTAGCAAAACTTCCGGTTTAGAGGCATTCCAAGACCCCAGTCTTAATAAGGGAAAAGGAAAGCAGTTGCTATGGTCAGTGGGTTTATTAATCAATATCTCTACACAGGTCTTCAGTATTTACAAAGTCTGAACGTTTTCTCATTCCCAGGGCCCACGAACTAGAACTGGAAGATCATCAAAGCAGACTAGAGCAGAAATTAAGAGAGAAAATGCTCCAGGAAGGTGAGTACGGTGATGTGTTTCAGGCCTTTGTTAAAGATGTTTTTCCTATGCAGACACTTGACCAGAACATGCTACACTTTGTAGAGCAGAGTACTCTTCCTGTGTGGTGCCACCAGCCTGGGAGCCAGAGGGGGCACAGAGCCAGCTGCTTCTGCCCCCACTAGAGCCCAGCAAGTCCCTCCTTGCTTTGCTCACTAGGGCTGGGAGAGCAGCATTTTGCTCCATCCCAACCCATGTGCTAACAGGAGTGAAGTCATTCATTCACAGCTTCATTCACTCATCCATCCATTCATTTAACAAACGTTCGTTGAGAATTTAGAGTGGGCCTGGCAGATGGAGAAGAGCAGCCCTGTCCTGTGGCCTCCCTGGGGAGACTGGCACTCAGACCGGTAATTATAACACAGTGAGATGAGGGCCATGATGTTCATGTTTCCACAGTGAGAGGAAGGCTGGTATGGTTCTACCAGGCACTGAAGATGGGGAAGGACACATCCTTCCTACCACAACTGGGCCAGGGCCTCACATGTGAGAAAATTATTTCCACCAAGATGGAGGGAGAGTTGGAATAAACTAATACCATATACTGACTTATTGGTTCCAACCCATGAGGCATATTCACTGTTTTGTGCCTGTGTGTTTGTGGGGGCCAGATCCATGCATGGCTTTCCTACATTGAGACCAAAGTCTAAAAGACAAAATTACATCTTTTCTGTATACATCATGGACCATATATTGCACCTACCTATGGGGTTACCTGGTACAGAACAATAGTAAATATGAGATGTTATCATGATTATTCTCAGATATGTTACTCCACTTTACAGATTGGAAAACTGAGTCTCTGAGAACTTAAAAAGCATGCTCAAGGTAAATGATGGGGCTATGACTTGGGAACAGATTACAGACTCAGGATCTCCTATTCTGTCTCACATAATAGTGTTTGTAGATTGTCTCTTTACAGCAATAGAAAACTATTTTTAACAAAATCCTTATAGAACTGCTCCGCACGGAACAGATAAAAGTGGTAATATGAAGCCAAAGTGTTAGTCACTTAGTCATGTCCGACTCCTTATGACCCCATGGACTATAGCCTGCCAGGCTCTTCTGTCCATGGAATTCTCCAGGCAAGAATAATGGAGTGGGTAGCCATTCCCTTCTGCAGGGGATCTTCCCAATTCAGGGATCAAACCTGAGTCTGCTACACTGCAGGCAGATTATTTATCAAAATCCTTATACAATTGCTCTGTATAGAACTGATAAAAGTAGTATACATCATCTTTTAATTGTCAGAAGGGGCTCAGATGTTTCCACCAATGACAAACCAAAATTGAGGTTGAAATTTTGAATTTCTCTGTGTTGATAATGAAATAAGGGGCAGGAATACTGAAGTATACCTAAATTAACAAATCATAGTAGGCAACTAAGATCTGATTTATACATCTCAAAAAATTTTTAATTTACTCTGGCTCAGGGTGATAAAATACATATCACAAAAGACTCATGAGCCACTTTTGAATCTTTTTTAAAAAAATTCTTACTGAAGAGTGATGGTTATACATTTTCTTACTCTTCCAAGGTGTACCAAAAAATGTAGTTTCTTCATTTTGCCTTGTCATCTTGCACAAAAGCTTCATTCCACTAGTTAGCAAGAAGAAAAAGAAGAAGGAAGGAGGAAAGGAAAGGGAACTCCCTCTCTGGTAAACTTCAGTCAGTTCAGTTCAGTCACTCAGTCGTGTCCGACTCTGCAACCCCATGGACTGCAGCATCCCAGGCTTCCCTGTCCATCACCAACTCCTGGAGCTTACTCAAATTCATGTCCATCCCACTGCTGATGCCATCCAACCATCTCATCCTCTGTCATCCCCTTCTTCTCCTGCTTTCAATCTTTCCCAGCGCCAGGGTCTTTTCCAATGAGTTGGTTCTTTGCATCAGGTGGCCAAAGTATTGGAGTTTCAACTTCAGTACCAGTCCTTCCAGTGAATATTCAGGACTGATTTCCTTTAGGAGTGACTGCTTGGATCTCCTTGCAGTCCAAGGGACTCTCAAGAGCCTTCTCCAACACCACAGTTCAAAAGCATCAGTTCTTTGGCTCTTGGCTTTCTTTATAGTCCAACTCTCACATCCATACATGATTACTGGAAAAACCATAGCTTTGACTAGACAGACCTTTGTTGGTAGAATATTGTCTCTGTTTTTTAATATGCTGTCTAGGTTGGTCATAGCTTTTCTTCCAAGGAGCAAGCATCTTTTAATTTCATGGCTGCAGTCACCAACTGCAGTGACTTTGGAGACCAAAAAAAAAAGTCTCTCACTGTTTCCATTGCTTCCCCATCTATTTGCATGAAGTGATGGGACCAGATGCCATGATCTTAGTTTTCTGAATGTTGACTTTTAAGCCAACTCTTTCATTCTCCTCTTTCACTTTCATCAAGAGGCTGTTTAGTTCTTCTTCACTTTCTGCCATAAGGGTGGTGTCATCTGCATATCTGAGGTTATTGATATTTCTCCCAGCAGTCTTGATTCCAGCTTGTGCTTCATCCAGCCCAGCGTTTCTCATGATGCATTCTGCATATAAGTTAAATAAGCATAGTGACAATATACAGCCCTGACATACTCCTTTTCCTATTTGAAACCAGTCTGTTTTTCCACGTCCAGTTCTAACTGTTGCTTTTTGACCTGCATACAGATTTGTCAGGAGGCAGGTCAGATGGTCTGGTATTCCCACCTCTCTAAGAATTTTCCAGTTTGTTGTGATCCACAGAATCAAAGGCTTTGGTGTAGTCAATAAAGCAAAAGTATATGCTTTTCTGGTAAACTTAGTCTGATGCAAACATTTAAAAAGTCCCTCCAGGAAATGTTCAGTCTCTTTGGGATGAAAATGTTCAGCCTTGCAGATTGCCACCCCTTCCATCTGCTCGATCCTTAAAGGTGACCGCCAGGTGTTAGTGAGAGGCAGGTTTGCGTGACTTTGCAGCACTGGAAGTTGGTGTGGGTGGGTCCGATCCACTGACCCCCATGCAGTTGTCTCCTGTCATTAGGCTGCACTCTGCTGCCATTTGCAGCCAGGTGTGTGGCTGGCGAGACCGTAGCCTGGCCATCCTCTCAGCGTGCCTGGAGCCTCACTCCTAGCCTTACTCAGCCTCGCCTCCGTGCATCCTCCACTCAGCCTGGCCAGATGGTCTACCAGACAGTCTGCACTGTGGGGCCACCTCATCCCTCACCAGAAGGAGCACCGTGGCCGGCCCAGTGGCCAGCGACCTTTGCACCTCTGGGCCAAGTGGACACTTCTGGCCACTGCCTCTGTGTGCCACACATAGCAACTCAGGATCTGGGGAGCCCCACCCAGACCCCTCTTCTCTGCCCAACCATGAAGTTCGCCTGTCCCATGTTTATACCTAGGGTGCCTTTCCAACTGATGACTTTCTGGAGTTCCAAGCAAGGGTCAGGGCAAGGGTCCCTTGGCCCCCAGTGTTCCCATCAAATGATAGGATAGGAGCCCCCTTGGAGGATTCCAAGGCCCAGAGTGGAGAGACTGGAGCCCAGGGCTCCACCTTCAGTTTCTCCTGCCTCTTGCTCCTCCCTCCCATAAAACGTGAGCTGCGAAGGCAATATTGCCTCTTTATTTCCCTTTTGTCATGTCCCCCTTATTCCTGATGCCAGTCTCAGAACACAGCCTGAGGCAAGAGACAGTGGTACCATCTCTACTCTGGGATCCAGCTCACTGCCTCGTCCCCATGCATTAAACAAGAGGGGTTAATGGAATAATACATAAAGTCTTCTCCCAAGGCAATAATCTGACAAAACTTAAGATCTGCCTTGAGAATCCTATTTTGAGTGTCAGAAAGTCATTACTACCAGTTTCTTACTCTTTTCCTTCCTTTTATAACAAATCGTATCTTCCCCAGGCAGTTGAACATCTCGGGCCAATTAGGAAGAAGGTCATGCACTCAGAAGGCGAAAGGGAGAAGCCTAGTCACAGTCTGGAAACGTCCCCCCAGCAGCTAGCCTCAGCCTCACTTGGCAGCAGCCTGGTCTCTATTCAGAAGGCTGCAATGTGTTATTAACTGCAAATGAAAACAGGATTCTTGTCATTGAAATAACATCCACTGATGCAGACGGTTTACTTAGAAACTTCTCTCACAGATTGCTCTGCTGTAGCTCAGATGCGTTTAGGGAAAACCGCCCTTGTGTTGATTTGCTGGCTTCTTTTTGGGGAGGGGAGGACAGGTGGGAGGGCTTGGCAGGGCTTGGCTGGTATGAACTTCTTTTTCTCACAAAGGGGTTTTCCCTGTTGCTTTATATAGAGTCTCGAGATGAAAACTGAGCTGAGAGCAGCACAAAGCGGCCACCTTTCTAATCTGTGTCTTGCAGGGCAGGTCCCCGGTGTTAAATTCATTTCCTTGTTTTCTCCTTAGAAATTAAAGAGCAGAACAAGTCCAGAATAATAAAGAACACCCCTGCCAAAAGCTCCTCTGTGGTCAAATGTTACCTGAAGTCCAATGTGTCTTTTTTGTTTGTTATTGGTTTTTTTGTTTTGTTTTGTTTCTTTTTGTAGAGAGCCAGAAAGATGAGAATGATCTGAATGAAGAGCAAGAAATACTCACGGAGATGATGCAAGTGATTGAGCAAAGGGACAAACTGGTGGATTCCTTAGAGGAACAACGCATCAGAGAGAAGGCCGAAGACCAGCACTTTGAAAGCTTTATATTCTCTCGGGGCTGTCAGCTGAGCAGGACGTGAGCAGGCCCCACCGGGAGCAAGCTGATGACCAGATCAGGCCAAGCACCCCACACTCACTCGTTCCTCCTTTCAAAGGATGTTAGACCTAAACGTAACTTATACCATGCTGCAGTATTTTTTGAAATAATTAAGATTCTCTCGTATGTACTCCAGCTGCCTAAGATACTTCCAGAGATGATTATGAAGAAAATATCGAGACTCTTTTGAAATAGGCAGTCAACTTCAGCTGGTCTCTCAGATTGGAGATGATTTTGGCAGATAATCAGCATTGTTTTCTATAAAGAGTGACACAGAGATCAGTTTTCCTGCTCCTTTCATCATTTCTCTTCCCAATTCATTGAGTTACACATCTTAAGATTTTTAAGAAGCTGCCTTTTCATTACTATATCCATATTTGCCTTTTCTTTGCGCGGGTGACTGGTTTTCAAATGTCAGAAAGAAGTAGCCACTGTTTAAAGATTAGGTTAATATTTAAATTGTGCTTCCAGAGAAAGGGAAGAAACCTTGAGATTACTGATTACATAAAGCAAATAACTCATATAGCAGGTGTTAATTCAATCCAGGGTGAATTTAAGTCACCAGGTGTATTTATAAGCCTTAATATAATATACATAAGCAATGAGAATTTAATAGAACATTTGAGCCTTAATTTTATTAAAAAAAAAAAAAGAAAGAAAGAAAAAAGGAAATAAAACTTCAACTTCATACCAGCAGGATTGTTAGTTTTCACCAAATGCTGTTGGCTTAGAAAAGCTTTTTCTTTTTTTTTCAGAGCACTCTCTTTATTTCCCCAGAATATAGTGAAAAACATTTTTAGAAGATGAATAATTTTTAAAGACAGAACCAATATTTTAAAAAAAGAAGAATTTTGAAGTACTTTTTTATATCTGCTGGTAATGGCAAAAAGGAAAACTCATTTGTTGATAAAATATTAGTGAGGTTGATGCTGCTACTGAAAGTGAACATTCTAGTGATCAAGGGTGAAGGATGCTTTTCAGCGGTGGTCTCCTTAGGTCCAAACAGAGAAATGTCTCTGACACTCTCTACAGGGGCTTCCAGGAACTCCACAGGACAAGACAAGGCCACTTCTGCCTTCAAGGTGGAGTGAGGTGCAGGGGCCCCATTCACCAAATCCCAAATTGGATAAAGGATTTTTTTTTTTTTTTGGTGGCATTTTCCATGGGAAAAAAAAAAGCTGGGAGATGGAGTTTGTGCACTGACATGGGATTCCTGGGACATTTTGATGGTTCATATGGAAACCAAAGAAAAGATTTTAAATGGTGATTTGTTGTTCTAAAGTATTTGATTATTTTCCCTCAGTGAGACTCTTTGAGGAGTCAGTCCATCATTGACAAGTGGGAGACTGAAGAAGTCATTGTTGTATGTTTGGCCTCTCTCATGTCAGCAAGTGTTTAAATGTATGTATTGTTGGACAAATGGTGCTTTGCAACTGCCTGGAGAGCTAACTTTCCTCAATAGAAGTTGACCCATAATCCACTTTTGTCTGAGATGCTGTCCATACACGACAATCTGGTCAGCTGATCAGGCTGGAACTTAGAAGTGTGCCTGCGTTTCCAGAGTCAGCCACCGTTCTGGACAGTATTAAGACGCAACCTTTCCATGGTATACCAAGTTCTAAAGGTTGTGGTTCTTTTTCTTTCTTCTCTCCTTCCTTTTTCTTTTTTAACATGATCAGGTCTTCTAGTGCCTGAATTCTATTATTAGGAAATATATGCAAGCATCTATTTCTCTCCCTCTCTCTCTGAAAACTTCTATTTTTATTTATTTATATATTTGGTGGAAATGGTTAAGGTGATTTCCTCGTAATTCTGGTTTTCCTGTGTTATAATTTGGAGAAGACCTATTAACACTAAGCTATCAGTAAATAAGCTATTTAATATACAAATAACCCAGAGGTTTGGGGCATTAAGTTATATAGTATTAAAGATTTATGGAGATAGTCAAAATAATGCTTTCTGCCATTAGACATTTAGAGGTAAGACTACAGATGTACCAGAATGTTAATTCATTTTAAGAAAGACATAATTTCAGTTTTCCTTCCAGAATGGGTAGAAATATTCAAGCTTAGTCATCATTTGATGCTTGCATATATTTAACAGATGATGCTCAAATGTGTCATGTCTGGGTTGGTTTTGTGTGAAAGAATTAAGTACCACTTATTTTAACTTGTTCTATTTCAGTCTTAAAAGAAGATTTTCCCAAGAGGGCCAAAAAAGAAGGTGGTTCTTGGCCCCAGTATTCTGTTAATAGATGAGAGAAGAAATTTGCTCATTTTCTCTTCCAAAGATTATATTCTGTGGTGTAAGGCTGAGTCTTATCTGGCCAAGTTAAAACATAAACCTTATATTTAACAGCCTTCTCCTTACTCTAGCTTTCAGTTTTCCCAGTACTTAAAAACCATTTTAATGATTATTTCCAAAGGACACAGATATTGTGGCTGTTGAACTATGTTAAATGATTACAACAGAGAATGTTCTGAGACTCTCAAAAGGTAAAATGTTGTAGCATTTGAAAAGTTTCTGTGTAGGCAGTATGAGTAGGATCATGTTGAAAACAGACGGAGCCTTTACTTTTCCGTAAAATAACACTTGGGATCAAGGCTGAACCGTTTAGGATGAAACAGAAAACCCCAGCCTCGGGTCATATTCCATAACCTCACACAGCTTTTAACTTGAAAGAAAGGCTCATGATTAAAACTTCAGAATTTTATGTAAGTTGGACCAAGAGGACAGTTCTTAAATTAAGCTTGCTCTCCCAAACCATTCATCTATTTATTTGTTTAATAAACATCTTCCAAATAACCATGGGATTCAGCAGCCCTGTGCTAGGTGAAAAATACAGATATAACATTATTCCTCTACCCACAAGTAAACTCAAAGATAAATAAGTACAACTCCAAATAAATACAAGAATAAAGAATGATTTTTATTGTAAGCATCAACCTATTCTACTCACGTTTATCTCAAGTACAAAGACTTATCCCCCCAACTATTTGTAGTGCTTCTTTGGCAATAAAAACACAAGTGTGTTCATGTTTCTAAAACCGTGAAAAATAATATCAGGTTATACTCTTTCATTTAAACCTTGACTTTGGCAGTGTAAGGCTGCTTGGAAACAATCAATGTTGAGATGCAGCATGTTAATTGCAACTGAGAAAGGAAGTGGCAGGTGTTTCCAACTCTGATGAGCTGCAATGAAATTGATGTTTTCTGCATTCTGGAGGCAGATAACAATTCAGCAATGTCTGTCTTCCCAGGAAGCAGATTTACAGGCTTTTCCTTCTAAACTGAAAATGGCAGCATGTCCCACCCAGGTGGTTGATCAGAGAACTCCCTCAGCAGGGCAGAGGTAGCAGGGGGCAGCTGGGGCTGCCACGTGAATGGAGAGAGTGGCACTCATTGGATGTAGTGAGCTCAAATGTAGGCATTTATTGTATTATAACAGGAAGGTTCACATACAGGGGAGCGTGTACTGTTTCACCTACTGTTTATCTTCTAACCTCGCTGCTGAGTGGCTTGTGAAAGATTAATTTGCTCCAACAATTGGGAGCTGAAATGATTTACATGTGCACTGCTATAAATATTGAAATGGACCAAAAATAAATGATTTTCTGTCTAGAAAATCCCAACACGTGGGCTTGATCTGGCATCTCTGAGGGCAGTGCCCATTTCATTTCTTTATTCCAGTGAAAAGATGTGAGCAAAGCTTTGATTTCATGTAGGAGTCTGTGAGTTATCGTTGGACGCTTTATTCCCTCTGGGGCACCTGGCAGGACTTACCTGACTGTGAGTGGGAGGAGGGGTGAAGAAAGCTCGCCTCAGGTGTATTCGCTCAACAAAGAAAGCTGTTCTCAGAGTTGGGGGTGGAGGATAGAGGGGGACTCTCCTAGTCCCAACTCCTATTTCTCTTAACCAGTACAACCTGGTTTTGTATTTCACTCAAGCAACAGGAATACACCCTTTTGCACTGGGCGGGCCACTCCCTTCAACTCACACTCTTTCAGGACTGAGGTTTTGGTTTATTTGTTTCTGCTCTTAATCCTAGCACATGCAAATTCATGAAATGTGAGCAGGATTCACCAGAAGAGCCACATCAGGTTAATCAAGCGCTGATCCCATCATTCCACACTAAGTTGCCCCATTGCTTGAAAGCTTTTGTCTGCAGGTGGACCACTTGAAAAGATTCCTTTTTTTCTTTTGACTGTCAACAGAAAATACATGTAACCGCACATGAGAGCTCCTGCTTCGCAAGTGCTACCTTGCCGAGGGTAAGGCTAGCCACCTTCCAGGGCATCTGCAAGTTTTCCTTTGCCCGTGCAGGGGCTCATCCAGGCCCACAGAGCCACAGACGCTCAGCCTGGAGCTGACCCCATCGCTGCAGCTCACCACCCCTCGGCCTTCTGGGCACACTTGGTAATTTCATGCTCACTCCCTCTCCCAGCTCATTTCTAGAGACAAAAAGAGCAGGACCTATGCTGTCCCAGCTCCCCTCAGGAGCCCTGTGACCCTGATAATGGTAGTGGGCCCTGCGAATTCAGCTCCCATCACCTGCCAGTGCTGCTAAGTTCTGTTAGGGGCATTATCCCCTTTAATCCTGAAAGCAGAATCCTTAAGATAAACATTGCTCCATTCTGAGATGAGAAGATGGAGACACAGAAGTCAGGAGCTTACCTGGTCGTCCAGGTACAAAGCAGGGAAACTGGGGTGAACCGAGACGTCGGCCTCTGGAGCCCAGCCCTCCACCGCCCGGCTGTGTGACCTCGCTTGGGTCCCCTCCCAGACTTGTGCCTTGTGCGGGCTTGTTTCTTTCCTTGATCGGTTCTCATTGCCACGCTCTCCCAACACAGCAGTGCCCAGCCCTGTTCAGGGGAAATCTGGCACTAGAAGACCAAGCCGCCCCTTTGAAGCTTTTCATTTCTTTCTATACTACATCTATGTATACTCAAACACGAAAACAGTTGTTTAAATGGTTCAAGTACCTAAACTCCACCACCCCTCACAACAGTCTTACAATAACCATGATTCTCTAGGAACAGGCATCTTGCTTATCCTGGGGAATTGAGTACTGCAGACGCACTGCCATGGACGCACCCCCAGGGGACTTTTTTGCACTAAATTGAGAAGCAGGGCACTAAAGAACTCAATCTCTGGTCCCAGGGGTAGGGAGCCAAGAGCACAGGCCATGGGGATGGGAGTGGGGGGTCAGGGAGCGTGCTGGGGACTGGTGTGGCTTCTTCAGGTCCTTAGGAAGTGTGCAGAGGTGAGAGGAGGAGCAGGGATGGTGGCGAGCAAGACGGGGCCACTGGGAAACAGTTCTCGAGGGCCTATGTGACCCTGAAACAAATCACCTGATACTGGCGCAGCTGCCCATACGACACTGGTGGCACGAGAATTCAGTCCCCTGCCCATCCCCAGAATAACAGAAACTGGATCCCTAAGAATTTGGAGGAAATATATATGCATGTGTGTGGAGTAGTCCCCAAACCACAAGTGCGTGATTTGAAAACAAATCAATAGCTTAAAAAAAAAAACCCAACAGGTATAATCATTCTAAACATATTAAGCTGAGCATGAATCCCTAATTAGGGCTCAAATTCCAGCTCTTCTGCCGCTCACTGGATGATCCTGAGCTACTCAGCTGTGCCTCAGCGTCTTCA